CTCACAAAGTAGAATTTTTGCTCACAAGACCCCACAGCTTAGAGGGAACATTGCCGTCGTCCCCGCCAATGTTCCCTCTAAGCTGTGGAGACTTGTGAGCAAAAATTCTACTTTGTGAGCTACCAGCATTAAAGTTGTGAGCAAGCGATTTGGCTACTGCATAAATTAGTTTGCTCTGGAGCCCTCCTTCCTGAGCTAAGACAAAAATGTGTGAGCCAGAGGCTAAAAAACTGTGAGCTAGCTCACATTAACTCAGCTTAGAGGGAACACTGGTCCCCGCCCACCTTCGTTTTTATTTATTTATCATTTATTTATTTATTTTGATTTCTATCCCGCCTTGCTTGACAGAACAACCGCCTTCAGAACAACCACCCCGCGAGGTAGGTTTAGGGTTGCCGGCCCCGGGTTGGGAAATACTTGGAGGTTTTGGGTGTGGAGCCCCAGGAGTCTGGGGCTTGGGGGGTGATGCCCTACAGTCCGGCTTCCAAAGCAGCCGTTTTCTCCAGGTTGAACTGATTTCTGTCACCCGGAGATCCCGTTGTGTTGGGAGATTTCCAGCCACCTCCTGGAGGTTGGCAACCCCAGGTAGGTTAAGCTGAGCTAGTGTGACTGGGTCAGGGTCACCCAGCAGGCTTCCGTGGCTGAGTGTGTAGGGTTGCCAGCCTCCAGGTGGTAGCTGGAGATCTGCTATTGCAGCTGATCCCCAGGGGACAGAGATCAGTTCGCCTGGAAGGTGGACTCAAGGGTGTTATGCCTACTGAAGTCCCTCCCTTTCCCAAACCCTGCTCTTTTTAAGCTCCAGCTTCAAAATCTCCAGATATTTCCCAACCTGGATCTACAGAACAGGGGTTCAGACTTGCATATCCCAGATCCTAGTCTGACACTCTTAACCGCTGCACTTGGTGGAGTCTCAGGTTTGAATGCTAATTTCCCCCATGCACAGTCTGAATTTAAATCCCCCCCCCTCAGATTTAGCAAAGATTATTGTAACTTGGTGTTCCTGTTGTTCTACACTGAAAAGGAGCAGGTTTTTACACTTTTTGTAAAATGCAGAGGTACATTCAGAAGAACAAGTAACACTTGCACAATTGATAGCCAGGGTCGTGTAGTGGTTGAATGGAATCTGATTTCAGTCTCCACTGGCAAAGTGTAGAATCCCCATTTGGGCACGAAGCTTCCGGGGTGGCCTGGGACATGCAGCCTGATCTATATCACAGGGTTACAGTGAGGATAAAAATGAGGGATGGGAGAGTGATGTGTGCTGATCTAAAGTCCTTGTTGGAAGGATGGGAGTAAAATGCACTAGAAGGATCATTTTGCTACCTCAGTCTGTTTCCTTGTTCTGCATAATGGGTAGAAATGCGCTTCTGTGGAGTCATTGGTACCTCTCACACAGCCTTTCTTGCTTTGATTAGCAATTGGTGGGACTGAGGAGTTTGAGTGTGGTTGGATCGTGATGTAGAAAGGTATATAAATAGGTAAATTTATCTTATTGGGAAAGGGAGAGCGTATATATGTGTGGGGAGAAAAGATGGTTAAAAGCTTTTGCCTGGGTCCTGCTCTTCTAGTATCATTTTCAGCTTTCACTGTCTGTGGCTTCATGTGCCCTGGTGCTCTGCCTGGATGTATATAATTTACATCTGAAATAACACAAAAATATATGAAATGCTGCTGAGCATGTATAGAGTATTCCTTCACCATCTGTACTCAGCATGTAAGATTAAGGGCACCCACATTAATTTTTTGGAAATTAAATGCTAACCAGCACCAACGCTCCCTCTAAGCTGTGGAGTCTTGTGAGCAACAATTCTACTTTGTGAGCTCCTGGCATTAAAGTTGTGAGCGAGTGATATGGCTACTGCATAAATCAGCTTGCTCCGGAGCCCTCCTTCCTGAGCTAAGGCAAAATTGTGTGAGCTGGAGGCTAAAAAACTGTCAGCCAGCTCACACTGACTCATCTTAGAGGGAAGCTTTCAGCACCCCTTTACTGTCTCTCTTAAGCTTCTGCTTAGTGTACATTGTTTTTGTCAGTGCACAGGCTGAAATATTAGTTAATACAGTTATAAATATGGCTTACCTAGCTTGAGCACACTTTACTAGAGTGAAGTTAAAGTTCTTATCCATCTTTTGCATTCCATCCAGCTGTTGTCTTGCTATTTCCTAGTATTGAATGCATTCTTTTATGTTCCTGGGAAAGACACACACACACCCCATATATTCACTGATTAGATTTATGTCCCATATGTATGGCTGTGGGGGCCCACTGCTGTACAGAATGTGTTCTGGGCTTCCATGATGGAATATTGCCTGTGTTGGTGAGGATTAGCACAATCTGTTTTTTTCTCCCCACCTCATTTCTCTCACCTGCGTCACTTTTAAGTTATTTGTAGTGTAGTCCTTTGGAGAGTTATTCTAGTCTGAGCCCAATGAAATCAGTAGATTTTGACATGTATGATTCTGCACAGGATTGCACCATTGATATATAACAGAGCGGGTGCTCCATAGCTGTACCACTCTAGCAAGGGATGGGCAGTCTGGTTTGGTTTTCAAAAAAAGGAGCAAGATATCAGCAAGGCTACCCCCCTCTCCATCCCCACACATAGTATTTGGTGACCATTTTGCCTATTTGTGGGACTAAAGGCTGAAACGTGGTCAAGGTATATAGATGCTGATATGCAGGACTAGCCCTCAGTCAGTTCCATGTTTGTTTCCACCTTTTTGCTCCCACTGTGTTGTGCCGATGCCTCTTTACATGTTCTTCATTTTGGTGAAGATAACGGTGTTCAGATAGAATACTCTTCATTGGTGCTTGGCTTTGTAAATCGTATACAAACAGTTGGGTGCAGTAAGTTTCTCTTTCCTGTCAAGTAGATACAGAACCTGAAAAGCCGAAATCACAGAGCAAATTAGAAGGTTAGAGTTGTTTATCCTTTGAAAGTTTGCAGATGGTTGCAAAATAGGTTACGGTGTTAAAGGAACCAGAACTATGTTGGTTCTGTTTCAACAGTTCTTGGCAAATGAATACATGTTCAGAGATTGTTGCCAAATGTATAGGAAAATGGAGGCGCACACAAGCATGTATATGGCATTTTTGAACAGGAAGTGTCTCTTCCAGTGGAAATGATGTTATGGAAAGTTATATAGAATGGAATTGCTGAAGAATGTTAAGCGTCTCCAGGCCAGATTTCTAGAGCAGTGTAGCGAAGGCTTTGGTAGATTCAGGCTGTAAATCGAAATGTTTTCCTGAAGCAGAAACACAAAGCAGGTGATCTTTCACATCACCTACGGCCTGATCCTTTTAACTGGAGATGCCAGGGATTGAACCTGGGACCGTCAGCGTGCCTAGTGGAGGCTCTTCCACTGAGCCACAGTCCCTCCCCCACCCCTTGCAGAGTGGCCTATCTAGGGGTAGTCTGTCAACTTGTCTCATAAGTATATTTCCACGTAGAAGATGTAACCTTTCCCTGTATCTGAAGGTTAATCCTGTTTCTTTCCAAGTAGCACCTCCAGAGCCACTGTAAAAGCTTCTCACTGGTAGAAGTAACTAAACAGCACCCGTTTCTCAGTCAAAAGTTTACAGGGATAGTATCTCAAAACGTACATGAGCTGATTAGTTATTTTGTCCATTGTGCTGCTGGCTAGAGAGAATTAATATGTATCAGGATTTTTACTATGGTCAGAAATCTTAATGACTGAGGAATTAACATTGTAAAGTGATGTTTTCCCATGCCCGTAGAGGAGAAAAGTAATCAGAAATAGCAAATGACAGTGTTTACAAAAGTACAGTACTGCTTACATACCTACGGGACCGCCTCTCCCCATATGTTCCCCAACGAGCACTACGGTCCAGGACTAAACATCTCCTGGTGGTTCCAGGTCCCAAAGAGGCCAGACTAGCGGTGACTAGGGCTAGGGCTTTTTCGGTGGCGGCTCCTACCTGGTGGAATGAGCTCTCCCAGAGGAACTTCGGGCCCTGCGGGACCTTGCACAGTTCCACAGGGCCTGTAAGACGGAGCTCTTCCGCCAGGCGTTTGAGTAGGAGCCGCCACAACTGTTACCATCTGTCTACAACTATTACTATCTGTCCTAGCCCTTTATTACCAACTCGCCGTGAGTGCTAAAATGGTGGTACTGCGTGGAGCTGTGGCCACTAAGGATACCATCCTGTTGACGTCATCTGTTCCCTTGTTAGATATTGTGGAGAGGACTTATGTTGTATTGAATATTGAATGTTTTTAAAATGCAGTTATAATGTTTTATGTATTGGGCATTGGCCCCATCTGTACGCCGCCCTGAGTCCGTTTGCGGGGAGGGCGGGTTATAAATTTAAATAAATAAATAAATTTGAAGTCACCTGTATAACCCAATAGAAGAGGGTTTTTTTTGTCTTCATGGCTACAGAGAAAGACTTCAAAATCTGTCTTAAAGGATCAGAAAGGGCGTCCAGGCAGAGGCCCCCCCAGAGCTAGTTCACACACACACACCCAGGTCCTTTCTCATGGCTGAGAAGCAGGTGGGCGTGTCATCATCACCCACCCTACACTGGAAGAAATGTGAGGTTTGTTAGTGTAATAACCCAAGACAAAGAATTGTGCAGATTGAATATTCAAGCCTTAAACTGTTTAAGCACAAAGGCATGTTCTTAATGTGTGTGGTAAGAGATGTGCACATCCATATTTCTTGGCCATGTGAAGATTATCAGACTAGGCAAGTATATGAACCATCCCATGGTTTCTGAATCTGTAGATGAATATATTCTGACTTAAAATTGTGGTTAAGTGAAGGCATGTATAAACGTAGTAATGTAAGGACACAGTGCTCAGAAGTTGCAGTTTGGCATTCCCACATGAATAGTAATGAGGTCTTGTATCAAATTAATGTGACCTAATCTTTCAATATTTTTTCACTTCCAGGGAGGTTCAGAAGGCAGTGAACACTGCCCAGGGACTGTTCCAGAGATGGACAGAGCTCCTGCAAGATCCGTGCACAGCTACAAGAGAAGAAGTTGACTGGACCACCAATGAGCTAAGGAACAACCTAAGGAGCATCGAGTGGGACCTCGAAGACTTAGATGAAACTATTAATATCCTTTAGATTCTCAGATCAGTAGATAACATGAATCTTCCTGATATTAACTCAAGAGACTAATATGGTTTTGGCACAGAAAGCTAATAAATAGGCTAGTCTTGATAGAACTGTTATTTTGCAGTCCTGCTTAGACCACATAGTTGGTTGCACACTAATCTTTATGTGGTAAATATTGTGTAAGTTTTTAAAAATGCATTCAACTTGATTTCCTTTGTCTCTTCCTCCCAATATACACTTGTACACAGTATTAGATGCAGTGTTTTTGTGGCCATGACATACATTCAGCTAAATGATGGTGTTTGATGCATTTAAAGTTCTCAATTAAAGAAGCAAAAAAAAGTATTGACAAAGAACTGTAGTGAGCAGAACATATTCCTTCTAGTTTTTGTGATTAAAAAGCAAGGGCTCTGTTAATAATGGTTAGATATGAGGAGCTGTGTATAAGATATCATTCCCTAACTGGCTGTTCCCAACGCATTGTTGAAGCAAATCCCCGGAAATTCAACCTTGATGCAACAGAACTGGGTGTGAGAAAAGCCTTTATTACAAGTACACGGCAGGTGGTCAGGGTAAGGCATTTGAGTTTCATAAATTGAGAAAGAGCACAACAATACAAAGCAAAGAAATAATAGCCACTGCTTGGAGCAGCTGGAAGAGGAATGCAACCTCTTAATTCACCAAGAGATTAAGAGGAAACACAGCCTATCTCTGAAAAACTGCTACAGTTTTACCAGAACAAAACAAGACAGCGATTGTGAAACAGTCTTTCCAAGGGCAAATGTTCCACAAAAATAGCGTAAAGTACTTATGTCTGCATTGTTTTTTTAAAAATGAAGGTTGAGGCAGAAGGCTACAGCCAGGGGCAAGTAGTACATTTTTACAAAGAACTTTTTAAAAAAAACATTAATTAAACCACAGAATTGTGCTCAAACTAATCCACAGTCCAGAGGAACTGGACTGCATCCTTCTGGCCTGATGGATTCGGGATCTTGCAGTTGCCTTTAGCCTCAAAATCACTAGAAAGTAAAAACAGCCGTGTTTGATTAGCTAGGAAGACAGAAGTGATTATTTCGATTTATTAATCGCTTTCCCCACAAGTGGGCTCAAAGTGATTTACAGTTACTCTTTAGACAGGGGACTAACAATGTTTCATAGGGGATAGGGAAGACAACATATAATTCATTTAAATTGCACACGCCATAACTGCCCGGTGGAAACGTTTCTGGCTTGGCTCAGTCATTTTCCGAACGGCTGCATTTCGACCGGCTTGATGACATTGGGGCTTTCAGGACCCGTATGTCGTGTTGCCACACTGCCACCACCTGGCCAGAGCATCCCACTGCAGGGATTTTCGTAGCCGAGAAGATTCTTCCACCTTTCCAACCGACAGCTAACACCTTCCCAGCGGGGGGAGTCGGTGTGCCCACCCTCTCTAAGGAGTGGTTCCCATTTTATCTACTCGCCAAGGCTTTCAAATCGCTGGGTGGACAATGAGCTGGGGACAACAGGCTGGCTGCTCACACCAGCGTGGGGCTCGAACTGACACAGTTCGGATGTTAAGGCAGTGGGATATTTCCTTGTGAAAATAGAAAGTTTTGCCTTGAAGTCTTCCCTGTCCTTTGTGAAGAATGAACAGGCTATAGCAGTAGAACATCAACTAGGATTGTGAAGTAGGAGGCATCAAATTGGAAAAGGTGCCATGATCGAACCTTTTCAGTGGCATTTAAAAATAAATGTCAACTGTGCAAGGCCCTATTTCAGATTGCTGTCATATACAGGTAGAGGAAACAGTTTAATCCTTCCCTCTTTATGTAGGTTTGCTAATTGCCATGCACACCCCTTTCTATTAATATTTTGAAAGAAAAAGACGGGCATCTACTTGAAAGGGCTAAGGGTATGGGTGGTAGTTTCAGTTAGCAAAAATATTGTGGGGGTTGATGGGTTAAAGCCCCTCCCTGTGCAGCTGTGATTCAAGTCCGTGTCCATTACTGAAATTGCCCTTTCGTAGAAGCTGAGAAATCTGACCGGCAAAAAAAACACCCCATGGTTAAATTTGGCCTGTAAACATGCTGCTGGATCTGGAGATAAGGCAGTAGCAAATCACCTCTCCCAACTACGGTCTTCTTTCTGTTGAGCAACATACCAGGAATCTTACTTGGTGTTGTAGGCCGGGGTGCAGGGTAATGGGCAGATGAAGCCATTCCTGCCTGGTTTGCCTGTTCAGGCATAAAGGGGAAGAGAGAATTGCTGTGATGCAGTCTGGCCACCCAGATATTGTTGTATTGGAAAATCTACCTCTGCTGGTGTCCGAAAACTTGAGGATGTACTTCTTGATCCATCCTGACTTGTTCTATGCAGGCCTCAGTATGCAGCCTGTTACACGGCAGAGTTATCAGCAAAGAAACCCACAATTGATTCTGCTGGTGTTACTTTAGGAGCTGGTCATTGCCCACCGTTGTGATATCTGTGATTCACAATGCCTCGTGTTCAGAATATGAAGGCAACCAGACTCTTTGTGAACTGTCACTCTTATACTAGGTTTGCAAGAGTGCTTCTATATTGCTTAACCTTCTAAATTTAGATGGCATTTCTACCAGACTAGCAAGTTTAGCTTTGAATCTGGGAATCAATGTCCTGATCTTGCAATTTATAATGCTTGACCACAGAAGGTTTGTGTGGCCAGAGTTTAGGGAAAAAAAGGAACTGAGGCACTGAAGATGGGCTGCCTAAAGTCCTCAACTAGTATGCTAGCCGAGTCAATGTTGCTGATTTAAGAATACATTTTTTACAGGACATGAAGGATCAAATGTCAAATACTTCTGTTCAAGCACTAGCCGAAAGGAAGAACAGGCAGGTGAGTACTGCTTCTGGGTTGCCTTCTAACATTGCCACAGTATTTGTTAAATTATTATTTTTGGTCATGGTTGCAGTAACTGTCTTGAGATCAAGTGTCTAAATATTGACTTATTAGTCAGGCTTCTTAAAGGAATGCAAATGAGGAAGCAAGCCTTGCTCAGAAGAGCGTGACGAGTCTGCCTAAAACAAGGGGCCGCTTTCTTGTTTTCTCTTTCTTGCAGTTCATGCATTTCCCTTAAACTCATAGGAAAGTTTGTGGCTGGCTCAAGCGGATCTCCTCCAGCCAGGGAAGTGTAGTGTCTGCCAAGGAAGCAATGAGTTCTGGCTTTCAGTAGTTTGCCATAGTTTTTATGGAAGGCAGATGTGTGAGAAGTAGGCGTGATAACAGCCCCTTCTGGCCTTGTGTCAGGATCTCCTTGGCTTCAGATTCCCTAGCTGCCACCTTTTATTTTTAATGCAGGAAGAATCCCTTGCATAACAATTTGCTTGCAAGTTAGCAGGAAGTGCAGGAAAATGATGGCATCTCAATTGATGCATTGCTTCTTAAGTGTGGCTGTGGGGGTGTGATTGCAGATTGCTGAGTTATTCCCCTTTTATTGGTGGTGTGCAGGTACTGCTAGGAGAAAGCGGCACTCACAGCTGGAGTTCTGGGACTGACAAGTATGGCCGCCTGGATCGAGAACTGCAGTTGGCAAATTCCCACTTCATTGGGGATCAGCAAACACAGCAGCAGGTACAGCAGTCTGTGGCCAGTCTTTACACTGGGGGACATTCGTTGCGGGGCTTGTGAGGACACAAACAGGAAGGTCCTGTGACAGTCGAATAATTGATTGACAGTTGAGCCGCAAGGGGACAACCGAGTGAGTTGGGGTCAGGTACTAACACGGCATTTCCAAGTGAAATTTTGCCCTCAGAATGGCAGTTTCCTTGCTATTAGGTGAGATTCCCAGGCATGCGTAGATTGCATAGCCTAGTCCTGTTAGGGGATTGTCTGGGACAGAGGAAGGAATAGAGGAAAGTGGCAAGAAAACCTTTCGGGGGGATTGAATAGCCCGAGGTGGTGCTGCTTGGGAAGGCAGAGTGCTTGGCTGGTGTCTGTCTGCCAGCATTAGACAGCGTTAAGCTCTTTTCAGTAGATCAGGAGCCCGGGGGTGCTCTTGACCCGGCCTTGTCAATGGATAAACAGGGCTGGCTCTGTTGTAATTGAAAGAAGGCACTCAGCATCTGGCTTGTAAGCCAACCCCTTATTTAGACTTTGCAACAGGTAGGTCATGGGCCTTTTCTGTGTGGGTCCAGGCCTCTGGAATGGCTCGGCCGTGTGGGTACAGAGTGCCACATTTTGTGTAGCTCAGAAGAAGGTTTTGCTCCAGGGGACATTGGATGGCCACCTGTGCTGGCAGATTTGGCTGTGTTTTTGTCTTGTTGATGGATACAATGGCTTCATGTCTCTGCACCTTTTGCAGCTGTGTTAGCCATGTGAAGTCTGAGGAGACAAGGTGCAGTATAAATATTTTTAAATAAAAATAGCCTTGGTCCCTTCAGCCATGTGTCATCAGTGGAACTGCTCAGCTTCTTCAGCAGAGGGAATAGCTGTGTACCTGTCTGTAGCCAAGTAGGGAACAGCTGGCACACAGTTAACATTATGCAGAATATCTGAAACATTTACCCACGTAGAAAGACCAAGGCTTAACTGTGCTAGTGCAGTATTGCTAAGAATTTGCTGGATGGTCTTCCGTCTTGCTACTGAGTAGCAGAAAGTCACGTTCCATTTAAGCAACACCACATTGCTGAACCTCTAACAGTCTGGTCTGTAGACACTTCGTCATACACAAGATGAAATTCTGTTCAAAATATTTATATCTCTCTTCATTATCAGCTTAAAAATTATAAAATCCCTCTCAATTTTTTTTTCAAAGTTGCCAAGTAGTACAAACGTCCAGCATTGACAGATTAGGTGGCCGGCCCGACTGACTTTTAGCTCCCCGATGCCTGCTTAAACAGACCTTAACCATCCCTTCCCTGATGACAGATGTATTTTGGCTGATCTTCCCCATGAGGCAATTCTATAGCCCTGGGCTAGTCACTGCGCAAAAAAAAAAGGCCTGTTCCTTGGTGAGGTTGACTGTGCTTCCCATGCGACGATAGGGCACAGGACTCCCAGTTCAAATGTCTTGGAGGAATTCCGTTTTCTTCTGAGTCCAGTGCAACCATGCATATCACTGTTGGGTATCAGGAACAAGTCTCTAAAAAAAAGAGTTCTGAAAAGGAAATTGCTGAGACACAAATCTGGCAGCACGTCTATTTGGCCCTACAGTCTCTTAGCAGAAGATCCCCTTTTTTTTGTACTTGAGAACTAGTCTCTAGAATATAGGAATTTGTCTACATTGACCGGATATGAAGCTATGATTAGAACTCTGGATGCAAAAGCCAAACAGCTGCATGGTTTTGACTGTGTTTCCCCTCCCCTCTTGAAATACCAGTTGATCATTGAACAGCAAGATGAACAGTTGGAGCTGGTCTCCGGCAGCATCGGTGTACTAAAGAACATGTCCCAGCGCATTGGAGGGGAACTGGATGAACAAGCAGTGTGAGTCTGGAACAGATTTGTCACTCTGTGCACTGCTAACAGTAACAGCCTTCCTAGCATCGAGATGTGGTTTTTGGTGGACTTCCTAGAAGCCTCAGGCTGGCTGGTGCTGGGAGCTGGAGCCTGGAGTAGGAGGACCTTTGGCCCAGTCACTCAGGTCCATTTGCGTCCTTAGCCAGAACCGAAGGCCCATCAGATGTTCAGAGTTAGCAGTAAGTTTAAATAGCTTCCCCCTCTTCCCACCAGAGCCAAAAACAGTTCCTGTCTAAAAATAGATGTCTGCCTTAAACAAAGTGGAGTCCTGCAGGTTGTTTGGCATTTGGGAATTCTGAATATTGACATGGGGTTTCCTGTGCCACGATGGGATACAGTTTGTATGTTTGAGGTTGAAGCAACAATGAGTCTGACCAGTCATGCTGAAGTTAGAAAGGCCAAACAGTTTTGGTTTGGGCTTCATTGGGAAACAAAGCCTTACATTAAATCCACAAGTTTCCAGACCTTTGCAAAGAGAAGCGGGAACAAAAAGCTGAAACTGAAATGGGAGGGAACCTTATTAAGTCTCTTCTTTCCTGGAGGCTGTCGTGTCTCAAAAAGCAGCTTTGGGCAAGCAGTACATTTCCACGGCCTGTTGTTCCTCTCTTTTGGAGAAAAGCGATTTATATTATAGGCCTTAACATCAAGGTAACTTGCTTCCCTTCCCCCCAATAAAATTGCATTTCCAGATGTTGCACTTATTGTCTGCTGCGGCCTCAAGGCTTCCCTGTTACCCTCTTCCCGCCTAGAAACCACACGGGATCCACTGGTGCCACTCTCCTAAGGGGGATGGGTGTGTGGTGGTTTTTGTTTTAAATGGAAAGCTCGCCCTGCTGGCTGTTTAACGCTTTCCTTTCCACCAGTGTTTCCTACTCCAGGCTTCTTATTGGGATTGGGAGGGAGGTAATACAGATGAAAGAGTAGCTGTGTTTTTCTGCCCACAGGTGAAGAAAGCCGTGTGTGCAGGAGCATGAGAAGAAGGGGCGGGTGGAAGATAAGAGGGCTCTTGTGTCACCCCCCCTCCCCTTCTCCACCTCCCCCCCCTAAAAACGCCTCCCGTCCGCCACCTCCCCCCCTCTCCACCTCCTCCCCCCCTGCTCTTCTGCTCAAACTGGAAGACCCCTGAGGGCTATTTTTCATTTTAAAAGGAAGTGGACCATGAAATGCATCCTATTTTTTTATATATATAAAATGTTATTGTATTTAAATAAGAAGTAAGCCAAAGAATATAATTTCAGTAGGTTACAAGAGGGAATAAAAGGGTAGATTTTAAAACATCAACATAGCATCTTACTCATCGACTAACACAACCTCTGTGCACTGGAATTTTCTCATATGAAATATATCCCAGTTCTACAGAGGTTCTGAATTTACCTCCTGTATAAATTGTCACATGTACAGTTGCTGACAAGCTTGGGGGGAAATGTGTCTTCTCCCTCCTAGTACAGGCTGAATGGGATGTTGTGTACTGGGTGATGTCATTTATCTCCATGCTGTGGAAAGTTTTGACTGCCCATTTCCACACATTAAGCCTTCTGGGCAGGACATTTTTTTCCCTCCTGTTGGCAACCTTAGCTAGATGTGACCAATGAAAATGTGCCTGTTTCTTTTGTGGTCACATGGAGTAGGAAGTCACAGGCACTGCATTGTATACACAGCAAAATGGAAATCCTCTGGTTTTTTGTAAAAGCAAAAATCAGCACATGGGTCATCTTGGAAAGCAAAGACCCAGCTCTAGCACAGGGCTGTTGAAAGTCCTTGTCTCCCCCCTCTGACTGAGGAATCATAGGAGGTTGATCATACTAGGAATGTGTCTGTGTCCCCATCTCCTTGCCAAGAGGACTTGAGAGGCAGCCCAGATAATTAGTAGGTTAGATGTTGTTTCTTATCCTTAACCCCCTCACAGTGGACTGTATCTTGCCTTTCCAAGGATTTGAGACAAAGTGTGTTAAAACCACGCTGCACTGCAGTAGAGAAGCTGACTGAAGCAGCAGCCTTTCCAAGCAGTACCACAAACCGTATCTCAGCTTGGATTTCCAGACTAAAAAGCCTTCCCAAACCCAAAAGAACAACAAAAAGCTCTTGCACACTCTTGACTAAAGCGGCCAGGAGAGAGGAGCAAACATTCAGGCAACCGGGCCATGACCAGAGCCATAGCTAAAGTTGCTTCTCCTTCCTATTTAATTTCAGTGGCTTATTCTTTACGAAGAGAGGCTGTCGTGTTAAACATTTTAGGTTTACAGTAACAATTACCTAGGATTTTAGTACTGTCAGGGTACTTAGTCAGGTTACTCAGTGACCAAGATATGTAATGATTTGTTTTTTAATCAGAACTTTCAGGGGGCAGTGTGATTGGAATCCACCAGGTAAATATTTCTCATCTGTCTCTAACTATTGATTTAAGTATATTTTAGAAAGTGCTTTGTTAACACGATCTAAGGGACAGATTGCTAAAGACACATGGCATGTCTCCCACCTTTAAAAAAAGTTCACTGCAACTACAGGGAGTTTCAAATTGAATCACCACGGCAGTGGGAGAGAGAGGAAAAGGGGATTCCCCCCCCCAGCTGCTCTCCCAGCTGTGTGGGGAGCAGTGATTGGGTCTGTGGATTGTTTCCCTTACGAGTGGAAAGATAACCTGGCTGTGATTCTGGCTGGCACTCTCTTGGGAGGGAACCTTCTGTCTCTCCTTCCCTCACACTTCCATGCAAAGCCTTTCTCTCCAAATGATTGCAGAAAAGTTTTCTCACATATTGCAGCAAGTTCAGCCCTAAGTCATTAACATCAGACTCTCTTCCACATGCTATTAAGTTTCAAAGTCCATAGCTTATCCTGACAGTGTGTCTCTCACTGTGGTTCCAGCATGCTGGATGACTTCTCTCATGAGCTGGACAGCACTCAGTCACGGCTAGATAACGTCATGAAGAAACTTGCAAAAGTGTCCCATATGACCAGTGGTGAGTAGCCCGGCATCTAATGAACACTTGAGAGCTTCAGAAGGTATTTGGGTGGCTCTGGAGGGGCCACACTGCTAGCTGTCCACCTGAGAACCCTGGTGCAATTTAGTCCCTTATTGAAATGAGCACAATCCAAGTTAAAGTTAACTAACGTGGCTCTGTTGATGTAGGAGATCTTTCACCTTTTGGGCCTGCTTTGTCTGTTGTACCTGTATTTTGTGTGCTGGTGCAAATTGCTGAAAACCTCATCCATTGCTCCCTCTAAGCTGTGGAGTTTTGTGAGCAAAATTTGAGCTCCTGGCATTAAAGTTGTGAGCAAGCGATTTCATACATTAGTTTGCTCTGGAGCCCTCCTTCCTGAGCTAAAACAAAAATGTGTGAGCCAGAGGCTAAAAAACTGAGCTAGCTCACACTAACTCAGCTTAGAGGGAACACTGACCTCCTCCCATGTTTTCCCCCCTCTACATTTCTAAATTCATTCCTCCTATCGAGGGATGCAAAGAGCAGCTCTTTAGTTTCTGTCATCAAGATCCTCTTGAATCCTCCAACAGAGGGGAGTGTCATTCTCTGAAGAGATGCTATAATCTGTCTTTCAGAACTGCATCGATCGCTTATTAGAAGTTTTCCAGGAGGAGATCAGTAATGCTCGTCTCCACTCTTCCACACTGCCATGGATGGCTGTGTTCTAGCGCACATCCATGGCAGATTGGCAGAGGTTGCACAGAAGACAAAGCCATGTGGAAAGTGCTCCTGAAGTCAGAGCACTCGTAAATTCCTGTGTTAGAACGCTGGAAAATGGATTGAGAAAGCACAGCCTTTTGCCCTCTTTTTATTGGACAGTCTTGATGGGGTTTTTTAAAAAAACACCTTCCTTTGTATCAGACAGAGGAGTCTGGGATTCGGTGGCTTATCTGTCTGGAGATTCTCAGAGCATTTTTATTGGACAGTCTTGATGGGTTTTTAAAAAAAACACCTTCCTTTGATTCAGACAGAGGAGTCTGGGATTTGTTGGCTTATCTGTCTGGAGATTCTCAGAGCACTGAATCCCAAAGAAAATGCTTTTGGTGTTCCTGTAGTTCAGGCCCCACTACTTTTTAAATCTAATTTGCATTGTTCTGAGGCTGTCGCTGAAAAGGCCCTGGGCAGCAGTGCTCTCTCTCTCTCTCTGGTTTTAGCCCAGATCCTAGTGCTGTTCTGCATTGACGTTCGAGGATGCAGAGGACTAACCCTATCCGTGTCTCTTTGCAGATCGGCGACAGTGGTGTGCAATTGTCATTCTCTTTGCTATCCTGTTGGTGGTGCTTATTTTGTTTTTTGTGTTGTGACAAGATTGGAGTTCAGATTCTCATCCCAGTTCCCTTCTGAACGAAATCCTAAGACACTTTGCATCTCCAAGACAGAATTCTCATCCTGGAAGACCTGTGGGGCTGGGGGCCTGATGCCGTGCTCATCCTGTGGGCGACCACCCGCGGCGTGACAGACAGACACTCTCATGGCTTTTCCGCTTAGCCTCATCCGTGTGCCTGAGGGGGGGGGACTAACAAATGCCCAGGCTCTGCTGTAACAGGAAGCAGCTCTTGTGGATTTCAGAGTTGCAGTTTTTTCCCCCGTGCTCCTCCGAGGAGAGGTGATTCAGAATGGAAGAAACAAACAGATTTCTGTCATTCTACAGGTATGAACCACATTCAGGAAGCAATCCAAAATTGGTTGTGTCTGCTTGTCAGAGTTCTTGGTGATGTTAAAAACCAGCACATAACATGTATGTGTACAACACAAACTCCTTGGTGGGCGGGGGATTCTCCTCACAGGCCAGCCACACAGCACTGCCCGGCAACATAATTGTGGATCCTTAAAAAGGGAAGGGAGCAAAAGCAGCCACTAAAGGTGGATATTTACCTTCCTCCGGAACAGGGTTGTGCAGTCAGGCTGCCAGGGGTAACTGCCATGTGCCCTGCCCTTGAAATGCTCCAGTACGTAGAACAGAACAATGCACATACCTTGGCCTTCAAAAAATAGTTTTTAAAAGACAGAAAGGTCTAGGCCCGTTAAGTGTTGAAACAAAATCTTTGCACGTTTTAAAAGCAAGAGCCATCGTAGAGGTGGCCACAAGCAGCCCTGCTAACCTGTGGACCACTCGTGTAGCTCTCTGCTGCCGTTCAGTGAAGCAGACCCGGTTCCCGCAGGGTAGGATGACTTTGAGGGAATCCTTCTTTGTATCTGGACTGTAACCCTTCCGTGCTGTCCTGCCTCAGGCAGCTGTAGTCGGGCTCCCGTTTTTCAGAGCTTTACCTGTGTTTCACTGTGCTGCAAAGCAGAGAGCTGGCAAACCTGCTGTAGCTGAAGTCTTCTTCTTTTTTTCTTTTTTGCATGAAATATGTTTTGGCTTTGGCGATACCAGCCTTCAAAAAAGAGAAGCTCGCGTGCGGGGGGGTGGGGGTGGGGGCTCCAGGGCTCCATCTTGCATCTGCTACTCTTTTAAACAGCTCCTTTTGTTTAACGAATGAACGTTGCCTAGTGGACGTTTGAGGAAAGGATGACCTATGATGAGCCCGCTCTCATTCTGTGCTAGATGTATCGCTTCTTAAAGGAGCAGGATTCAGCTTATTTGTTGCACAAACATATGTGGGGATATCTTGAGTAGTCCTGCACCTTTTAATGTTTTAGAACCTGAAATGTTGGTGCAAAAGGAAACCAATAATTCATCGCCATTCCAGCCCTGTGATGTTCTAGAATAGCGACCACTGAAATTTTAATTTTTTAAGCCTGACTTTGTCATTTTGATAATACGGCAGAATTATGTACTAATAAACAGATGTATTCCTGGCTGCCCCCTTTGAGGCTTCTGAAATGGGTAGAAGTTCCACAGCCTTCCAGTCTGCCTCACTTGGGTGGCTTTCCTTGGGTGTCTGCTGCTGGGAGGGGTGTCACAGTCCACCTTTGGCTAGAGATGGAAGTGTCCAGTTTCCAGACTTTTCTAACAGTGTTTCTTGGACTGCCTGTATGTCAAACTGCTGTTGTCTGTTGCGGTTCTTCCCTTTGACACAGTCGGTGAGGTTCAGGCATCTTTGATGAGCGTTTCTTTAGCAGTGGAGGTCCACAAGCTGTTGATCAGTGAGGTGAGCCTGGAGCCAGGAGTCTGCTGAAAAAGAGTGATCGGCCTGGGATGCCTCTTATTAAGGTTGACCCACGTGTTGCAGAACAATTGTGCAAGCTTCGGAGGAGGGGAAAAGTAGATTTTTCTAGGTTAAGATCTGCCATGTTAAGGGCTAAGAGGCTCCTGTGTAATTGCTGGAGGTGTCAGGTTCCAGCGCTTGCATTCTGGGAGGAAGAAGCAGACAATAAAGGAGGGTCCTTTCATTTGGAAAAAAGAGTCCAGCAAAGTCCAAGTGTCACTCCAGAACCCAAGGGCGCATTCGGTCTGGGTAGATCACAGGGCTGGGTTGCCTGCATGTTTATCAGAGCTGTCTAGTGCTCTGTCTTGGTCCCTTGGAAACTTCAGTCACCCCCATCTTTTCAGGTAGCATCTCTGTTATTATCTCTGCACAACTTCACCCTAATCTGGAACTCGCTTTAGTGTTTATTCCCTGTGAAAGCAGACAAATCAGGAGAACTCTTCAGGTGTGTCTGTCTATAATTGCTAGGTAAGAGACAGGTGGGTTCTCAACTTCATCCAGACCTCTTAGACAGAACAGTTGAAACAGTTATTCTTTGGCTATACAGGTTAGGCCACACATACATATGCCCTCTTTCTGTTGCTTGCAGCTAAAGAGAGAGATTGACTGGTATCAAAAACAGCCTGCTTCCACCACCACCCCCAAGTAGAATTCCTTTTGCTAAGCATCACAAATTGGGTGAGCTATTTAAGGCCCAGAAATGAAGGTACTCTTTCACCGACATCTAGCAGATTGAGCTCTTCCTCCAATATGAGCACGGCGATGGAGTCTAGCTTCCTATAAAGTTCCCTCCCACTTCCCATTTGGTTTTTGCAAAAGTTTAAACTTCTTCAAGATGCATAGCAGGTCCATAGAGCCTGTAGTTTCCCCCCAAAGCAGCAAGGGAGGCTATCAAGGGCATTCGGCTTTATGTGCACCTCATGTAAAAAACATTTCACTTGGTTATGCATTTCTTCTCCCGCAAGAGACCTTAATGTGAGGCTGACTTCAGTGTTGGCTTTGCTAGACTGACCTTCTGTAGGGATGCCTGCGACCTATATGAGTTCCCAGGTGTTTACATCAGCTCTCAAGGGGTATTGCCCTCTCCACCCCCATTTATTTGCATGTGCCCCTGTGGGGGGAGCAAATCTGCTTGCACAGCTGAGGACAGTAAAGGATCCAAACAGCTGGCAGTTTCCCTGCAAATACACAACACACACAAACCCACACACCCGTTTCACTCTCAGTTATTTTATATGGGCTAAGCCTAGGATAAGTTAGAAGAACTTCCTGACCAAAGCGGTCTTCAGCAGAACAGGCTTCCTCGGGAGGTGGTGGGCTCTCTCCTCCTTTGGAGGCTTCTGAGGAGAGGCTCGGTGGCCCCATCTGACAGCAGTGCGGATTCTGTGACCTGAGGCAGATCAGGAGAGGGAGGGCAGGGAGGGTTGTTCCAGGGCTTGGGTCTCACGGCCCTTTCGGACACGCCCAGGGAAATGCCGGTCGCCACTTTGGGATCAGGAAGCCATTTTCTCCAGGCCAGGTTTTTTGCTGTCTTCTGGGCATGGAGCAGGGGTCACTGCGGGGGGGGGGGGGGTTTTGGGTTTTTTTTTTTTTTTAACTGCATTGTACGGGGGTTGGACTAGATGACCCTGGAGGTCCCTTCCAGCTCTCGGATTCTAAGCACTCCTGACTTTTTTTTTTTTTTTTGCTCTGACTTGTTTCCAGTTTGGTGTAGTGGTTAGGTGCACGGACTCTAATCTGGGAGAACCGTGTCTGATTCCCCACTCCTCCACTTGCACCTGGCTGGATGACCTTGGGCAAGCCGTAGCTCTGACAAGAGCTGTCCTTGAAAAAGAGCCGTTTCTGTCAAGAGCTCTCTCAGCCCCACCTACCCCACAGGGTGTCTGTTGTGGGGAGGGGAAGGAGTTTGTGAGCCGCTCTGAGACACCTTTGGGTGGTGAAGGGCGGGGGTATAAATCCAATCTCTTCCTCTTCTCAAGGGAGCTAGACTCTGGCAGAACCTAAGACTATTTGTTTTGCCTGTTTAGCTAGCGCTGTGATCATCAACATCAGCAAGGTTGTCCAGCGTTGGCAGGTGGAGTTTGCACTTCCCGGGTGAAACACAGTGATGTTCAGAAGTCCTAAAGTAGGCAGCAAAGGAGTGTCGTTAAAACCCCCCAGGGATGACTCCTTTGCATAGTGGTTGCTTTCTAAGTTTAAAAAAAAAAATGCCGATTCTTTACTGTGTAATCATTTTTGTCCTTTTTTCTGAGGCCTCCGGGTTGTCAGGGTTTTTTTTTGGGGGGGGGTGTTCTGCAATGGAAGGAACAGGCATATGGTGGTCATGGTTACTGGAAGGAGAGCTGTCCCATCGCTTCTGAGCTTTCGCTGCAGTGCACAACCAGAAGGAAACGGCAGTGAGACTCATGAGGCACACTCAGGACCTACCGGTACTGAGCAGTGTGAAAGCCTACCAGGCCTGGCAAGTGTCCCTCCGAAACGGAGTGCCTTTGCCCTGGAAGCTTTTGCAAGGCACTTGGTCTTCCTGGTTTCCAAGGAATTGCTTTCCAAATTTGGGGAAAGAGGCTCCCTGAAGGCAGAAAGTTGGAAGATCTCAGCTTTAATGTGCAAGCAAGCTTCTCTGCTGATCTTACCCACCCACCCCGCCCAAGAAGGAAAAACATCTGACTCCCGCTGCCATTCATTTTGCAGCAAATCTGTTTCTTGTACAACACTCCTAGACCCAAGAGGGAGAAACCCCGGCAGTGTCCTCCGCTCTTTGGTTCTAGGGGATTCAGCAGCAAACTGGTTCACAACTGTGTATGGGGTCCCTCCTCTTATTTTAGCACTCTGAAGCAAAGGGCCTGATAAGTATTTTTTGAATGTTTTTTTAGCAGGCTGAGCTCTTTCTGTTCAATTAACTGCCCACACTGCTCTGCCTATCATAGTGCTAACGCTGTTGTACTCTATACTGTATGTCTTAGAAACTAAGTGAATTCTGTGGCTCTCCCTCCCCGGTAAATTATGCTTCTCTTAGACAGCATCCCACCCCCTTGCCAAAGAGGGTAGGTATTAAACAAAAGTCTCTGTGGGTCTGAATGCATCCCTTTGAATGGCTGGCTTCTCAGCACTGTTTTGACAAAGGGGACTTGTGTGTGTGTGAATAATTCTGGAGTGACGGCCACTTTGCAACAGGCAATTCTTTTGTTTGAACAAATTCCATGAAATGGCTAAGTTTAGACATGAGGTTAGATGTTTTGAGGCTTGCTTTCCAAAACAAGAGATCTCCCAACCCAAAGGAAGGGGAAATGTAATTCAGGTGTTTCCAGGGCAAACATCTCAGCTGATCCCGTGCTCTCAAGATGGTAGGCC